GACTTTTTTTTGAGGTAAGGTTTAAGTATCAATACATATCGATTTTCAGGGTCATTGATACACGAAATATATGAAACTTGGGTTTTTAATAGATTTAAATAATAATAATAATAATAATAATAATGATGAATTGTTGAAAATGTAAAAAAAAATGAATATAGAGCATATCAATACTTTCAAATTGATAGTGCGCGATCTGAAAGCTCCTAACTGGAAGATGATTTGAAACTTAGTCACGTGGCGAGCTGGACCAAGCTACAAGATAAAGAATCAGAGAATCCGGGGTGGTTAATCCAGCGAGATCGCTCCGATACTTAAGTTAGTATTGTATTAAGGATGTGAGCCAAATACTTGAGTGCTAGAGTGCTAGTGAGCAAATAATCGTGCATACCTAGGTCTTGGGGGTCGATGCCCTTATATAATTGAGTTGTCGTGGGTTTCACAAAATGGCTCTAGGATCCTCGGTCCGTGTAGTTGGGATCCGTTCCACTTTAGAAGGAGAGTAACATATCAGTCAATGAAGTTTATCATTACCTTCAGATCCGGGCGAGGAGAGGATAAGGCCTATTGTTATGTGGCATAATCCCGGGAGGTTCGGAGTTCGCTGAAAAGATTCTAGAGTTGATTATGTATCACTTTGGTACTCGAGTGCCGAAGTGGCTTTGGTACCGAGGTGCCCGAACACCTAAGCTCCCGAACTGCTGATAAGGCTCTCCTCATTGAGTTATCATCCTACTGATAGGCTGTGTCCACGTGTCCTTCACTTACTAGATCAGGCTAAATCACCCCTCATCACAAATGATTTTTATTTAATTATTTTCATTTTTTTTTCTTTCTTTCTTTCTTTTCCTTTTTTTTGGGCATGAATTATTCTTTAGTCAACAAAGAAGAGAGTTGGATTTCAGTTCAATTATTCAACACCCTTTTTTGTCCATAAGAGATAGGGGATGCTAGGCAATACAAGGATGATTTTTGGGATGTCTTAAGTAGATAGATGATCATTTCTCTTTCGATGATTACGTTTAAATCTTGACCAATATGTAATTAATTTATGCTAATCTGCGTTCTTTATAAGACAAACATACTTTCATATGATGTGAGAGAGAGAGTGGTGGTTGGTTGAACAACCACTCCCAACCTCTCCCACAAATGCAAGTATAATATTAATATCTAATGACAAGATTTACTTTAATTGAATAAAATAATTGAATAGAGGAGGTGAAGCTTGTGCCTTGCCACACTATTGAAGTCTGCAAAAAGGCATCTGCAGAGCTTGCTTTGCGTAATAATAATCATCATGCATGTAAGTGGGAGGAGTTGGCTCAAAACCCTATTTGGAATATGTGCTCTCATCTCTCAGAACTCATTCATTTTCCCTCATAATGCATCTCAGCCTCGAGACAAGGGCCACGTGGATGACCTTTTCACACTTATTTTTTAGTTTTTTTATAGCTTTTAGTGTAATAAAATAATGAAAATGATTATTTAAAATAATAGAGAGGAAACTGAATTGGGTCATCAAGTTAGGTTTGATCAAGAAAAGTGACAGAATTCTCCTCTTCATCATCCAGGATTCTCTCAGCTTGTATTCTAGTGATGGAATTTGACCTTGCCATGGCCAGAGTTGGAGATGATCAGTCAAAGCAAATCCAGGCTGCAAGTCTGCAATTAGCACTCTAGCAGCTGTTGCTTACTCCAAAGATGGGCACCCTTCATTGATGAGATGTGAACTTTTGACTTCCATGAACAGAACTCATCCTCTAGAAATTGCTGAAGAAGAACGTGTGAGCAGGAGTCAAAGCGCTCTAGAAGGCCAGAGCTCTACACACTTATTACCAATTTGATGGGTTCTGCAAAAAAGTAGGTTTTTTTGGTAAGCAGATCAAAATGGTGCTTTCAGCTACATACATTTGGATGCGCTAGAGAAGTTTCAGTAGTAGGTAGTCTTTGAAAATGTTGAATAAATGAAATCAATTCTGTTCATATTTTAGTGTAGTCTTAGGCTGAACCCATCTCATGGGAGTTTGCTTTTATAGATTCATACCCAGGCTTACTACTATTCAATCAAATTTGGCCATGTGGAAACATTGGTGATGTGGCTAAATTTGATTCTATAGGTCCATTTAATAATGGCTGAAGTGGCTGAACTGAATGATTTATTGGTTTGTCTTTTAAAAGTTGTATAATCTATACTATTATAAAAAGTACTAATGAGGGTGTGGAATTTTTTTTACTAAAATGCTCATATTTGTTATTTAGTCTAATTATGAAGGTTGAAGATGTATTTTCAATTAATACTTTTCACCTCATTTAATCCCCTCTCATTAACTTTTGTATTTAAGGTATTAACTCCCATTCTCTCTTATTAAATCTCATATTTAAGTCATTTTCTCACTAATAAATGCTACTAATTAGATCTATGTCCAATAGTTTTATAAGCAACCCATATATTTTAATACTTACTCAAAAATAAAACCATTCTTTATCCAAGTGATAACTAAGTAATTCAACTATCCGAATCAAATTGGCAAACCCATGAAGTCATAATTAGATAATAAAATTTTTAAATATAAATAAATATAGAAAACTATAAAAATGTAGAAAAAGTAAACACGCTTTTTATATTTTTCTATTAATCAAATTAATAAAAAAACAAGTATAATAAAGAAGAATTATTTTGATTGATGATGAAAATGAAATACATAATTTAAAACTAACAAAACAATGAAATTATTTTCTTGTTTAGCAGAGACCAATAGTTCAAGTTTTGGGTCAAATCTATCAACCTCTAATGCCATAATTAAATAATAAAATATAAAAAATTCAAAAATTCAAAAATTCAAAAATATATAAATTTTATAAAAAAACATTTGGGTTTGGGCATATGTATAATATCATATATTTATCATATTAAACAAAAAAATAAGTGTGCATAATAGTATTATTTTTACATACATAAAAATAAAAACTAATTATAGAAAAATTGAACACATCTATAACTCCATATTTACGGTTACACTACTATTAAAAATATTAATAAGATTGTAGAACTTTCTTTTGACTAAAATACCCATTTTTTTGAATTTAATCCCTATTTAATTATGACATTTAAAATGTAGTTTGAACTACAAATTTCACCTCATTCAATTCACTCTCTTTAAATCTTGTTTTTTTTGATAAATGAACAAAAAAATATACACTAATAATATAAAACATTACAAAAGTAAGAGTCCAGCAAAGTGGGTAGGCTTGTCAATGATTTTGCAATCTGTATTCGATTAATAATGAAAAATATAAAACAATAACAAATACATGAATTTTATAGAAAATTTGTATATATCATCATCTAGGCATTTGTTTGGCATTGTTGTCGTTGCTCCAAAAAACGGCACCACATCAGAAAAAACGATGCTCTAGGAAATGGCATTTGTTTGGAACTATTTTTCACTAAAAAATGGTGCTCCAAGCCATGTCTTGGAAATCGAGAAGGCATGGCTTAGAGCAACGCCAAATTTGACGTTTCCTGGAATTGCAGCTCATTGCTGCCAACATGGATGTGAGGTGACAGTGACATGGCACTAGATAATGGGTATCGGTGCTGAAAATGTTTCCTAGAGCATTGGTACCAAACAGAAAACATTGTTGTCTCAAAAAACAATGCTTCCAACCCACACATCAGAAGTTGCATCTGCAGCATCGATGCCAAACATATACTAGAATTGCCACGTGCAAACGTGCACACTTAATAGTTTATTGAAAAATACTAAATGCCCAAATCATCCACCTTACTTATCATAATCAAGGATCAAAATTTTGTAATGTATCGACCCATATCAAACAATTCATTTCATATCAACAAGTCAATGACACATTGCTTTTAAGGTTTTTTTTTTTTGTTTAAAAAACTGTCTTAAATGTTGATTAACATTATTTCCACCCCCACTCAAATTTTGAAAAATAAAACTAAAAAATATAAACCTTGATCATTATTCATAGATGCAAGTTGGATGGACCAGGCGGTCGAACCAATGAACGGGTGATCCAATGAGCCTTTTTGAGGTTTGAACGATTGAACTGCCACTTGAACCGGTTCGAATAGAATTCGTTGTGATCATGTTTCAAACTGCTTTTTTGGCTTAAAAGCTCCAAATCATTTTAAAGTCAGTGGGTCCTACCTTAGGGCGCCTCACAACGAATCCGAACCCAGGAACACCGGAGGCCGGATCTGCTCCTCACATAGGGCGCCTCACACGCTCATCCTATCATACATGGGGAACATTTACTAATAAGTTATTTTTCACGGGAAATGCTCCCAATGCATGGTGAATGTGCATGTGAGGCGCAAGTGTGAGGAGCAGATCCCGTTCCGGAACACCAAAAGAAGAAAAGAAACGAACAATCAACCAAAAAAATCCCGACACGTGGCCGTATTCATTGACAATAGACGTAAACTCAGCAAACAGAAAAGATTCGGTCTAGCTTTCCATCACATTTACACGTGTCAGTCCCTACTGTCTAAATCAAGAAAAAGTGTCCTCAGATTTGAAAGTCAGGTTTATCGTCGAACACGTTAACAACTCACTTTTTCCTCTCATGAACTGTCTTTCTGGTCCACGGAATTTGATGAGACAAGAACCAATCAAGAGACTAGGTCAAGATGAAAGAATCCAATCCAACGATTCATAGAGCCCATGGCAAATAAATATTTAAATAATGATAACCAGTGATAGTCTGATATAGTCTAGATTTATTCAAAAAATATATATAAAAAAAAAACATTTCTCTTTTCTTCTTTACATGGAAGCTGTGAGAGGTTTATTTTTATTCATGACTCACCTAATTAATATGAATTTTCTAATATAATAATAGTATATTAATAATAAATAGCCAAAGCTGAAATTTTGATTTTTTTTCTTATAGACTTTTGTGTGACATCTGCCGAGTGCTGGCCATTAATGATTCTGTTACTCTCCCAAGGTTCCTGTTCTAACTTCTAACGGTTTTTCTTCTCTATGGCCTTTGTTCTTTTACTCTTTAACCCCTTGAAATGCTTAATGCCTTGCTATAGTCCCCCTCAGTTGAGAGATATTTACATCTCCACCAGACCAGAATCCAGAAGTTCCAAATTTGCCAATTCTAACCAGTAACCACCCACCTTCATTACAGACCTTCCACGGTCACCGTGATCTTGTTCGGCAGCCAATCACCGGCACTCCGATTCTCTGAGTCTCTGGTTGAGGCAAGCTTTACAAGAATGCTGTCATTGGTGCCCACGGCAGGGGATGATAAACTAGCTTTCAGCTGCTGCAAACTAGGGACTAGGACGTTCTCTGCCCAATGCTCAAACTCAGTGTTGCCGAACCACACCCCACCAACAATTTTGTCGAGCGTATCGTCATCAAATTCAATTGACTGCCGGTCACCAAGAATGGCCTTGAATGTTGAGGTAATGGTGCTGGAGATCTTGCTCCGAAGTGGGCCAAAGTCGACCGGCTTGAAGACAATGGATTCATCTATAGAGTTAAGCAGGTCCTTTGGCACTGAGGTCATTGTGAATTGCTTGTTTATGAGGCCATTTTCATGTTCATGCTCAACAGTGAGGTCACTAGAATTGCAAGACTCCTGTGCTAGATCATCCTCAGCTTCAGCAGCTTGGTTCAAATCAAATGATAGAGCAGGACATCCATCTTTTCTTGGCTTTGTGAGTCTCTCGTTGTCATGCAGCCAGTCAGGCCTGCGCTTGCTCGTCTTTTCAACAACTGATAGTTGTAATTTCCAGTCATTGCACGCTGCATTTGCGAGCTTCTCCTCATGGGATGGAATGCAATTCGACAAGCTCTTGAGATTTTCTGGCAACCAATTTGCAGTCAAGATGAAAATCACATTCCCAAGGCTGACCTCACGGCCATGAGAATCTGCAAGCCGACCTCGCTCAATTGCCCGCTTGATGCTCCCATGTATGAGAATATCTGCTTGATCAATGTCCTCAAGCACAATCACAGAGAAGGGATTCCTCCGCACAGCTTCCATTATCCTATCAATTACAGTCTTTCCACGGAAATTTATCTCTGATTCCTCATCATTGTTAGATCGTGAACCAAGACGAATTGTGATTGGACTGCCTCTGCTCATCAGTTCTGACAGAACTGATGCCATCTTCTTCTTGCCAACCCTATCAGGACCTGTAAACAATAACCATGTGTCACCCTTTGTGCCAACACCCCGCCTTTTTCCATTGCCAGACTTGCACTGTGTCACAGTAGTAGCTACTGCATTTGCTGCCTCTGGCTGCCACCCTACCTTCTCTGTTAGTCCCTTGAGGAGTCTCTTGAATGAATCTGCATCCAACAGGCTAATAAGTTTATCCTTCTTCCAATCAGAGAATTTGTCCTGTTCAGAAGAGATGCAGCCAGCAAAGTCTTTTATGCGTTCACTGTGGGTTTTATCCGGTGAGCTTTCAGTAACCTTTGGTCGTCCAAGAACAAGGTCTGTTCTTACAGGGCTCCCTGGTGAGGTACCTGCAGGTTCAGATGGTTGGGTTGGATCCTGGCACTGGCTCATTTGCAGGGATCCTCCAAGGTTTCTGGTTAGTTGTAACTTGGACAGGAAGGGCTGGCGTCCCAACAGATTTGGATTATACAAGCTTGTCATTGGAATTGGAGTTGGAGCCATTCTCTCAGGGTTGACATTTTGATGGAAACTAGGATGAAGGCGTGAGCAAGTATCATTCCATTTCTTCTGTAATTCTTGAGTTTTCTGTTTCCATATCAATTCTTGTTCCTTGGTCTGTAGTAACAACAAAGACAAAATAAAAAGATGAAAGGACTTAGTTCTGAAACTAGTGTCTTTGAGTATGCAGCAGAAATATTGATTTGGAATTCTATGGCATGTACCTCTGACTGATCTTTTATGTTTGCCCTCGCATTCTGCAACCACTGGGGCAATGGTGCCTGCGGTTTTTCTGGTTTGGCCTCAGAAGAAGATTTGTCAACCTCTTTAGCTACAAGCTTTGCTAGCTCTTGCTCGTAGTTCTCCATGCATTGAGGGCAACAGCTTGTTCTTTGAGCAGGATCCATGTTTTCAGAGGGTGGACGCCTTTGCAGTGTAGTAGTTGCAGTTGGAAAGCTCTTCAAAGGGGCAAGAGATTCAACCGAACTGCTCAGAATGCCATTACTCCCAAGCCTGAACATTCCAAAAATATAACAGCAGTTAATCCTCAAGATATAATATAACATTTTTAAACCCACACAAAACAATAGTATTTTATATTTAAAAAGATTCTGTTGTCTGTTCTCTCAACAAGGGGAACTTCCAACACAATTAGAAGGAAGCTTTCATTCCAGATTAAATCAATCACAAACCAAGAATTTCACTAAATAACTCCTAAATCGATGAAGAGATATTTTAACACCTTACCCCAAAAAATGAAAAAAAAAGAAAAACAAAATCTCACTACTTGTCAAAGATGATGTGAAGTTCATATATATGAAGATGATGCAAGTGTTTCTACTTGATTTTTTTTAGAACCGAATAACCAGAAAATTTGCAAATAATGGAAATTTAGAGCAATCAAAAAAAGCCAACTATTATTGTCAATAAACAACCAGAAAATAGAGAAAAAAAAGATTTCCTGCATAGGACAGTTTTCATACAAAATATGATACAATATAGCTAAGTTCATCTGTGCAAGAAGAAAAGCTGCTCGGACATTGATCCAAGTCCGAGCTAAAGCCAGTGTCAAAATTCAAGCTCTGTAGTTCAAAATTAATGAAAGAACTCGATGACAACCTTGGAAAAAACCCTGGTTGAGGGGTTCTTGCAGTAATTGGAACTGCTTGCAGATCCCAGTCATTCTCCATTGAAGGGTGATAGACCTGGCACCTCAGATAAGTCTCACAAGTCGCCATCCCGATCAACCACAGCCGGCAGTTTCCTTCACCGAACTTCGCCAATAGCTTTGTCATCTCTGCCACCGCAACTCTCCCTGCTTCAGATACAATTTGCTGCTGCACTGGAGCCGCTGAACCAGGAACTCCAAGACACACCGGCTGCTCCACAAGCCATTTGAGGTCTCCTAAGTCAAGAATCACGCTACCACCATTGCTGATACTGATTCGGCTCTCAATCAAACTGTCCAACTCCTTGAGCTTCGCAGTAATTTTTGTTCTATCAGAAGCAATTTCTTTGTCCAAGGAGATTACCTGAACATTCCTAAGTGGCCCGTCACCCACCTCCCTCTTCTCAATCTTCTGTAACAGTTCCCTCGTCACTGTGTCGAGCTCTGCCTCTCCGACAAGAACCGGATTCCGTTTCTTCGTCCTCAGCAAAATATCAATAATCCGCTTCACATCCTCGCCTCTTTGCTGCCCCGTTTGAGGAGAATTCCCCTGCTGCAATCTGGGATTCAGATATAAATTCCTGTTCGGTGCTGCTGTCATCGTCGTTTTCGTCGGGGGCGCTGGACGGAAACCCAATCCGCATCCAATTGTGGAGGAATTGACAGAACTTGAAGCATTCAGAGACTGTTCGATAGTGGCCTTTACAGCAGGGCTTGAGAAGCTTGCCTCTCGCATGACACGGCTCACGCTCGGGTCATCGAGGATTGAAATAATGAGCTGCTCCAGTTCCACCTTAACAGCCAGGAGAGGCTGCTGCTGCTGTTCAGGACATCCCCGGCGTTGATGGGCTTGAGCACGTTTGAGGGCAGCCATGAGAGCATTGGAGATTGGGGGCTCAAGTCCAGGAGTGAGGTTCTGCGCGGACGGAAGACGCTCAAGGGCGACGCTGAAGCAGAGCTCGAGCGCTCGACACTGTAGTGGGTGGGACGAATTGGGGTGGGATCGGATGCATGCTTGGCGAAGGTAACCAGACGGCGAAGCCAAAAGGGTAGCCGCGACATGAAGCGGGGTGGTCTGGCTATGATTCCGGCGAGCAGCCTCGGCAATCGAGTGGTTGAGAACACTCGCAGCCTCCGGCGTTAGAGTTTGCTGGATCGTGCTCAATCCAGCTCTCATGATTACAAAGAAGGCTAATCGGAAAATCAAACAACCCCTCCTACCAATTCAAACCCAGACACACAAACTCTGAAACAACACCTAATAATACAGAAAAAAAGACAAACCCAATAAAAGCTTCTCTAAACCTCGTCAGATTCTCTTCTTTTTTTTTTTTTTTTTCCTCCAAACTTAAAACCCAATTCTAAATTGCACCCAGAAACCTCAATCCCAATCTCTTTTCCTCTGTTTATTCAAAAACCCAGTAACCGTACTTGAAATCCTTCAAGTCCAGCAAGAGCATCAAAGACATCTAACTCATTCTCATTTTAGACCCAGAAAATCAACAAAAAACAGCTCAACTTCAACCCCTGCGTCGTCTTGCTCCTTTTCTGATCTCCTCCCTATCTTCAATGGGTCTTGTTCTCCTCCCTTATCTCCAGCAAACAAGTACAAGTGGAGGGCTTTCCTTCGAATGTTGTTCTGGGATTTTGTTGCGTAAGGTGTGAACGCTTACCAGTGGACAAAGTCGCACTTTCATCGAAAATTCATTCTTCAAAAAAAAGATCTCTATTTCTCACCGTAAACACTAGCTCGATAAACACATAAAACTCTCATACGCACACATGAACGAGAGAAGGCTGAGAAAAAGGAACCCCTCAGATCTCATCTTTCACATAAAAACTCGGCATTTTTCTTCTTCTTTTTCTCCTTTTCTCATCACAACCTGAAAAAAGATAAACCACCGTCCTTTTCTAATTCAATTACACACATACATCCCTCCAAACTACCAAAACAAGAAAACCCAGAAAAAATTAACAGTGAAAGCAACCCAAAAAGAACAAAGAAAACCAAAGCTACCCTTTTATTACTGAACCCAAATCAACTTCAAAACCGTTTTTAGCTGAGCAGTCCACAGAAGGAGAGAGATGCAAAAGATTAGCGCGCAATTTTAGATGTATTTACACCGTAAAGATTTTGGGTTTAGTGAAAATTCTCTCTTAGGATTTCTGAACTGCCTCTTCTGCGTTCTCCCCTCTTTTTCATGGAACTCTGCTCCTCCTGTTCTAAAACCACATAAAGAACCCCATCCAAAAACCCACTTACGATTCAGTTCAGTTTAGTCTCTCTCTCTCTCTCTCTCCTTCTCTGCATGGCTCCATTGACTCCCCTTTTTTACCTAAAAAATTTCTTTCTTTGAAAAAAAGTAAAAAATTTTACTTCAAACTCACCCTTCTCTCACTCCAACGATGGAGATAGTTTTTGAAACCAAATATCTGCTTTTTCACACGCAACCGTTGCCTGGAAAAAGGCACCGCACGGATTTCACCTTTTTCCCCCTCCCTCTTTCTCTCTCTATAACTTTTTTCTCTTTTCTTGCATAATATTATATTATTTTTTTCTCTCAGCTTTTTCGCTGCTTTTGAAGTCTTTAAATTCGGCAAAACGAAATCATCATATTCGCTTTCCATAACGCACGCCCACCCTTCTCTTTTTCACCTTTTTACGCGCTTCTCGATGTAAATTTTCACATCCTCTTACCCTTTTCAGCTCAGTAAAAATTCTATTACATTGACACGTGGCACGCATGCAAACCCAACGTGACTTTATTCTGGGATCAGATGGTTCTGATCTACGGTGGGCCCGCTCTAGAGAGAGAACCCTTCCTGCCTTTTCCGTATTTTGCTTTTTTTCCCTGGGGTTCTCCTCACTTCACTTCATCCGACATCCAAAATATCGCGAGCTGAGCTGATTGATTCCTCGGGATTTTCTCGTATCGCTCGGACGTGCCAGGCTGACGCGTGCACCCCAGCCGCGTCGCTTTTACATCGACCGAGAAATAGAAGAAGACTTGAAGAGAACACTTTCTGCATTTATTGCCGCTTGTTTGTTTCTGACGTGCACCTCTTTTACGTACATGCCACTGGTTTGTCTTGTGATTTACGGAAGTGCCACTCTTGCACGACATGTGGCCTGCGGTGAGAGTGAGAGAGATCGTAAGGTTTTTCATTTTTGTTGTGACTTGTGAGGGGATCCTCACCTGAGGGGGCGCCGCTAGCTTTAGCCTCTAGGTGCGTTGTGGACTGTGTGGTGTGGATGATTAGTGGATACCAATCTGACGACAAAGAAGCCTCATCTATGGTTAACCTTCGTCATTTTGTATGAAATTTAAGGAGAGAGTTTGGATATTGTGGTAAATTACTCTCAACTAGTCCAGGTTGGTGGCTTCGAGCGAGCCGATTCAGTTGGCAGACCGGGTTCAATGTACAGGCTCCCTTGTCCTAGAAATCCAGTGATATTATACGTGGAGGATGATGTGGCAACTTAAAAGCTGCACACGTGAATAATTTGGATCATGAACAGCAAGATCAGAATCTTGTGGAATTCAGATATTTACATCTGACCGGAGAAGAAGATTGTAATCCAAATCCAGCGATGGCCGATGGCTATAGATGGAAACAAGGACCGAAATTTTGATAAATATTGGCCGATAGTATCGTATTGGGGGCTTTCCGATATGTCCTTCTAAGAGTGTTTCGGGGTTTAATCCGGTTCAAGGGTAGATAAGCCTTAAACCGATCCTTTTAAATCAGATTAAAAACACTAAAAAAAAACAGAAAAATGAGCCTTATTATAGGCCGATACACCTTGCCAACATATTGGTTATATCGATATTTTCAACCTTAAATGAAAATAATATGTAATTATTCGAATTTAAGGGAAAAATGAAAGAATTAGCTACATGATAAATTATTATTGATGGAAAATGTTCTGAATACACGGCTGCAGGAGCAAATTTTAATTCATCTTCCATAGTTTGATATGGGGACAGCAATAGCCACGTGGCAAATTGGTAGAAATAGATTAGAAATCTAAAATGATTGATCAGGCCCCAAGTGTCCCTCCTCTCTATTTTCAAGAGAATCATATCCGTTCATGAAAATCAAACAAAGTAAAACAGATTTTGGAGCTTTTGGATGGTGCATGAAATTTCTGATTGGATCCAAACACATAAAGAAATTTGTCAGCAGCTCTGATCTTCCACGTAACCATTCATTTTGACCACGTCAGACCCCGACGACTGATGTGCCTGTGGTCCAATAATTGCTCATTTTACATGTGATAAGAATGGATTGTGCTTATATGTTATATCATGGCATGTACATGTTGGGAGGATGATAGCAAGACTGGAGGATAGCAACCACCATATGGAACCCAGCTATGAGATTTCTAGTTCGAGGTTGAGGTCATTTGGATGATCCTAGCCATATATATATCTCCATCCAGCTAAAAATATCACAAGATCAATGGTTAAGAAAATTAGTAATTAATGTCAACTGCAATATTATTACAACCGGCGTGAATAATAGTTTTTGGGCAATGCTCAAAGTATCGGTATATGTATCGTATTAGTGAACTTGAAATGGATGCATATTATAATACATATTCTAAAAAAACATATATAATATGGTGGAAAGATATGGATATTTCAGGCTGCTTTTGGAAACGATGCAAATGGAATTCAAGTCGGCTTTTTATAAAAAAAAAGCATATGTTTTATTGGAATTTATGTTTGTATCCATTATGCTAAAAGTATGGTTTTCAAAACTGGACCAGACCGGATGGTTGGACGAGAAAAATTGGGAACCAGTCAGGTGACCGATTTATTTTCCTCAAAACCATTGATTTGGTCAGAAAACCGATGACCCAAGTGGTCAAACCATTCAACGCTTTGCTCAGTTTTTATTTTATTTTTTTTTGTCAAAATGAGTTGTCCGTTCAGTTTGAACGGTCGGACCGTTTGGCCTGGGAACTAGACCCTTGACCGGTTCATTGTTTAGGTCGGTTTTAAAAACCTTGACTAAAAATCTATTTAGTAATAAGATAAATTTGTCACTGCAAAACTAACCCAACTTTACAATTTATATGAATTGTTTTAGACTCTACATATTTGCATTGTTTCCAAATGCAGTCTTAGGAAAATTCCCGCAAATGCATTAATAATAATAAATCTAAGGTCAAAATAACTATGAATTAAAGTATAAAGATGTAAGAAATGCATACTTTCAATAGTTTATATGAAGAAATGCATTGCAGTCTATGTGGTGGGACATATAGATGCCATACAACTTAAATGATATTACCACATGCATAAAGCCATTCATATAAATTATAAACATATATAATACATATATATATATAAGCATATAAATATATAATCCAAAAAATATATTAGATTCATGAAAGTATATAGATGATCCAAGACATAAATTATATGCAATTATTATATTTTAGTTACAAAATCAATTTTCTATTTTATTGTTTTCATTTATTGTAAATTAAAGTATTTAATTAATATAATCTCAATTTAAAAAATATATCTTATCCATCACAATTTCTAAGATACTTATCATTTGCAAGTTCATCATAAGTTTGAAATCTAAAAGGACCACAATAAATGGGGCACAAAAAGTGATTAGATGCACAATTAGGTTGTATTTGGTTTGAAGAAAAAAGTAGGAAAAGGTATGAAAACCTTTACAAACCTTGTATAGGGTTCCCTGCCTTTCCCTTCCTTTCCCTACCTTTTCCTTCAAACCAAACATAGCCTTAATGAGAAGTGGGATTTAATCATGGTTCGAAGTATCGATATGCACAATCCACAATTTTTGCATATATTAATTGTTTTAAAAAAGTCTTAAATTTTAAGATTTTAACCAGGCCATCTCTAGAATGGATATTAACCATTGAATATTTCCCTTTTTCCCTACATCGTATTATTTAGAATTTTGATGGGTTTAAAAGTTATACAATATGATACACACCAATATGTTGTGATACTTTGAATTTGATTTAACAGATTGAATGACCCAATATAAACATTTAAATTTGATTAAAAAAAGGGAAAATTTCCAATTAGTACCCTATAGTCAAACTTTCAAAACATGACAATATAGTACCTGTTGTTAACAAGTTGTTAATTATCCGTTAAGTGGCATTTGAAAAAGACACAAATGCCCTTCAAGTGTCATCTAATTTTCTTTATCAACCATCCAAACATTGACAAATAATTAACAGCCTCAAATCCTTGCCTCTTCTATTCAAGAAAATTGGAGTCACCAGAATGCCCACTCAAATGTGACCCCAACTTTCTTGAATGGAAAAGACAAGGATTTGGAACTGTTAATTTTTTGTCAATATTTAGATGGTCAATAAAGAAAATTAAGTAACACTTGAACGACATTTGTGTCTTTTTCGAATGCCACTTAACGATTGGTTAACAGTTAGTTAACGGCAGGTACTGGATTGTCACGTTTTAAAAGTTTGGATACTGAATTGTCGCATTTTAAAGATCAGAAACCAAAGTGGCACTAGGCCCAAAGTACATGGTACTAATCGAGAATTTTCCCATAAAAAGACATGGTTTACAACGGTCAATACAAACTGATATAGACTGATGCAATTGATATATATCGGTTGCTAGAAACTAATACAAATGATCTTAAGCTCAATTTAAAAAGACTATAAATACAAATATATAAAATACAAATACATACAAAATAATATAAAACATAAGGTTTTACACTCTACATATTTATATTTATACCCCTTCCAAACTAAGCCTTAAGAGCATGGGAAGCAGGTTTGGAACCATATATATATTTTCCACTTATGCCATTTGGATACCAATACAATGAAAGTATATATCAAATGCATCATATTGATATTTTGAACCTTGTAAACGAAATATAAAATGTGAACCCAGACTAATTGCTCGAATGGAGAATCACTTATTCCCCTAAACCAGGGTGTGATTGGAATAATATAAGCTCCATGGTGGAGTTTCCTTGTGGAACCCTCCTTCCTTTTCCCCTTGCTTTATTTTAAGTATGATGCTATCCATAATAACTTTCCGCTCTAAAAAGTAGGTCAATTGACCTCATCCCTTTTTCTCTCTCTCTATAACACTAACAGCATTGGACAGATGCCACATACTAGTTGGTTCCTTCACCAAAGAAAAGCTTGCCCACTACAAAGGACCCTAGCCTTTTCACCACCCCTCCAATAATTGTAACCCACTGAGCAACCATAATGCAATATATCCTTAATTTTTGAGGCAAGTATTCCTCCATCAGCCAATGGCCCCAGTTAAAAGGAACCCTCTCATGCATCTCACCTCTGCTGTCATGAGAGCACACCCTCCCTCTTTTCCTCCTCTTCACATTCAAACTTTGAAGAAGTCAATAAAAGCA